GACAAATGAGGGAAAAGTATGACCTGGACACACATTTTAGATGATGCTAAAAACAGCTCAGCTTCCAGGATAGGTAGAATGTAACTCACTTTTACAGACACTCCAGAGGCAAATTTCAATGAGATTCTCAGACATCCTGGAACATTTCCATCATCTCTACCTCTAATATTAATTAGCAGTGTTCACCAATCCAGCTTTCTTTTCTTTCTTTGTCTCTCTCTCACTCCTCCTTTATATCTGTCTATCTCTCTTCCTTTTCAACCAAGAGCTACATAAGCAACTTCTAGCCATTCCAGTGGTCACCACCAGGAAGATCCCACCACGGTCAACCACTGGCCCCCTCAATGCCTGTTGTGGCTTGGCCTCAGCAGTCCCCCATGTTGTAGTTTTGAACCCGTACAATTCTATGGAACACTAGGTACATGGCAACAGCTGTAGTCTTTAAGCTCCCCTTGGTGCCTTTCCCCCAGCCCAGCCCTCCCTTTGTTCCACCACATCTGGAAGAGGGGGTAATGGACTTTTCCAGCTCGTTGAAAATATATGGTTTTGCCTAATTGCCTAGCACAAGTCAGGGAGGATTTTCCTGCTATGATAAATGGCTGGGGGTCTCCACTGGTGTTTTATTGCCTGGTGATATATCATGGGGTGACTATTGCTGGGCGGGAAGTGAATTCAGCTTGCAAATGACTGGCCTAATCTCCCCACTCGGCAGAACATTCCACCTTCACTGCTAAATATTTAGAGTCTGAAAAAAAAAACATCAAATGCACATCTGCAGAGCCATTCCCCAGATTGGAAACCTTGGCTCCCTCCCCAGAGATGTACATTCTCTCTTCTTTCCCACATCTCCAGCTGTCACACTGGGTGACCTTGTGATGCAACTTCCTCTTTAACATGTTGGCACTTCTCTTGCTACATATATTTTTCACCTGGCTCCATCTCCTCATCCCCCCACATTAGGGTCTGACAGCAAGAGATCACCAATGTCTTTTAAGGCTCCTTGATCATCTTCGGTGTGAGGGCCACTCCCCCCAAGTGATATAGGAAGGCAGGCTTGATAGTTGAGGTGATAGTCTTTGAGTTTCTATGGACAAAAAATGATGCCACAGCTAACTCACTGATGAGTTTCTTGGAACTTAACTAGGTTGACCTCTGGAAAATGGACCTGTGGTCCACTGTCAGGTCTCTCCAGCTTGGCAGGACCTAACAGGCCTCATGTTGACATGGTCTACGATGAGGCACCAGAGGAACATGTTAGTGGAGGGCCCCAGATTCTCCTGTACTCAGAGTTGGTTCATGCAATTCCGACAAGATGGCCACGCCTTCCCACGACCTGCTGGGAGTTCCCTTCTGACAGTTCTGATGGGGCAGGATCAGCAAAAATGTTCTGCTTCATGCTCTGCTTTGTGGTTCTGGTGCAGTCTCTAGGCCACATCATGTGAGGGGTTGTCCTGGGTTTGCCACGCATGAACCAAGCTTATTGCAAGTGATCTGTTTTCTCCCCAACTGTAGCTCTCCAAGAAGGGGATGGGAACAAGAGGACGCAGATGAATTACTGAGGACCATGTGACTGAGGTCACTCCACAGCATCCACAGCCCCTGGATGATCCACAGCCCGGTGTAGACTCCAGGTGTTTTCCCCAATTCAGGGGTGCTTCAGACTTCCATCTCTGCTGGGCACTGAAAGCTTTGCTCAGCTTTCTAGGGGAAGCTAAGGAGGCCGTTCATGCACGCTGCCATGTCCTTTAGCAGAGGTCTTTTGTAGCCTGCAGGGTCAGAAGTGAGGCTGACAGCTACCTGCCGGTTTACCTTCAGCTAAGAATGATCTTCAACAGGGTGGCTTCCAGCACATGGCACCTGGGACACTCGTCTTTGTTTATGCAGCTCCACAACCAAAGTGCCCTTCTTGTCCCAAGCGCTTGTAGGGAAAAGGGAAGGAACAACTCTAATGAGTCCGGGTCTCCATCCAAGTCTGGGTCAAAGATTAGATGGCTTAATGGGAGACTCTGCCTCCGGTGAGGGGGAAGATCTAATCACCACGGTCTGTTACACTTATGTGTTAAGTCTACGTTTGGAGGGAGGGCAGGTAGGAAGGGGACGCTGAGGGGTGAAAAAGAGACAAGAGGAGGCTAAAGGATGACCCAGTAGGACGTAAAAGTCATCCTAGTGATAACCACGTGTTCACTTGGGCATCTACAAGTGTAGGTCATGAGGCTCTCATATTCTGGCCAATGATCTGCAAGCAGCAAGCTTTACACCAGGAACTCAGTGACCCTGAGCCTCATCTGACCATCAGAAAGAGATCCAGATACCATGCATGACCTCAAGCATATCTTCCCACTTTGGGCTCCCTGTGGGGCCATTTTAGGTCCTGGGAGTTACCTCAACCTTGAGAAGAGGTTAACATGGAGCTTCTTTATTTCCTCAGAAAGGGCAGTGCCTTCTGCCTTGTAGGTTTTTGGTAGGTTTCCACATAAGGGCTCATTTGAGTGTCCCAACCACTCTGAAGTAGGTCAATACAGGGATTATGACCCCCATTTTACAGATAAGGAAAGTGAGGCTCAGAGGGGCAGTGTTCTGTTGGTATGGTCACACTATTAACAGATGCCAGGAACTAGATGTGAACACAGGCCTCTTGAGTCCAACGCGACACTGTGATACCCACTAAAGTAGTAGTGTTGGTAGAGGATAATTTAGTCTGTGAGCTTGGCCATGGTTGAGTTATCTGGGTCTTGCCCCTAGCCACTAGTAAGAAATGGTTGCAGGATGAGTCAATGTGTGACCAGATTCTGCTGATTAACATGAAATCAAACCACTGTGTCAGCATCATGGCGAGCCTGGGGAAAAGGGTCAATGGCCTGGAAGCCTGGCACATTCACTGTGGCCCATCCCAGCTGGCACCTGCATTAAAGCATACTACGGAAGGCCCAAGGCCCAAGAGTCCAGAAACCTGTTCCAGCCCCAAGCCCGGCCAAGAATTAGATACCCTGGCCAGGTCATTCTCTTCTCAATTTTCTCATGGGCAAAATGAGGGAATTGGTTAGATGAATGAAATCTCTAAAGTCCGGTAGCTAAAATGTTGTCTACCCAGAGGTCCCTCCCACCTCTGCAGACATTCTATGTTCTAAAGCCCTCCCAGTTTGGTCTGTGGGCATTTTTAGGGTCCGCCAAACCATCATCTTATGAGTTTACATTGTAGTTTTCTCTGGAGTGTCCATGGTCCAGGTATGCTGGGCTTGGAGTCAGGAAGACCTAAGTTCAAATCTTGCTTCAGACACTCACTAGCTCAAGAGTCTCACTGTACATAAGGCTACCCTGCCTCAGGCTGTGTTCTCAGGAACGTGGCCCATACCATGGACCTCCTGGTCCATCACAGCAGCTCTAGGTCTGACCCGTCTGGTACTATGTGTCTTTGCTTATGGCACCCACAAGTCACCAGAAATTGTGGAAGAGGCATCTCCTGACTGCTCAGAACTTGTGCTGCCTGGAGGGACAGGACTCAGAGCTGGAAAGCACCACAAAGACCAAACAGAGTCCCAAAGAGATTAAAGAATTTGCCCCGAGCAAGGTCACACACATATAAAGTAGCAGGGAGGAGATCTGAACCCAGGTCTCCAACTCTAAACATGGAGTTCTTTCCCTGAATACACCAACCTGACTTTCAGGACGTATAGCCTCCCATTCACACAAATGCTTACAAAATCACTTTTTCAATCCAAGAGCTTACCAGCTATTATGGTGCACATCTCTGGGCAAGCTGCATCTGAGGCTACTGCACCTTCTGAGTGGTAGGAAATCCCCAATTCAAAGCTCCAGCCCAGCCCTTGGATTTGGCCTGGTCTGCACAGAGGTCATACCTGGCTGCCCTCAATCTTACTCCATTTTACCTTTACTTACATTGGAAAGCAGCCTCAGCTTTAATGCATCTCAGATGGATTATATGAGTAGCGTTAAAATGATGACAGAAGCATGAATTTCCTCATTAAAGCCCCAAGAGTAAAGGCAGCGGGGATCAGGCCAGGCAGCCTCAGCCAAGGTGCGCTGAGGACAGCCACTCATCAGCCCCAAGTTTAGCTTGGCACAGGTCGCCCTACACGCCAAGCCCGGAACCAGACTCTGGCCATGGTTTGACAGCTCTGATTTAAACTATTAGGAAGGCCAAGGATTAAATATTTGTCCAGGTCACTGTAAAGCAGGCATAATTATTATAAACAGTTTAGAGCAGAGAGTGATGGAGGGAGCGGTCTCCAGACGCAGATTTGTGAAGTTCGACCAATTCCCCAGGTGGCAGGGAATGGAGAAGATGGGAAGGGGGGTGGGGGTGGGGGCGGTGTGGTATGGCACTCCTCAGAAGTCCCTCAAACTCCTCCCTCCCCAAGGGCCCAAGAGGACAAGAACAGATCCCAACAAGAGGAGGAGCTTCTGTCCAGGGGGGCTGGGTGGCTCTCTTCCTGAAAGACTACACATGCAGCACTGTCCAGAAGCAGAGGGATGGATGAGTCTGCCTCCAGAAGTCCCTTTGGCCTTATATTTTATGGCCATGAAAAGAGTGTGAGCCTAGTTTTTTCAGAGGTATGCACAATCCTGAGGATGGTCTACATGTTATGGCACCAGGCTAGTGGCAGAGGACCTTGACCACCACTGCTTGAATCACGTATCACCGACTGTTTCCTCCACCATCTTTGCTTAACATATCTCTATACCTTTGTTTGCGGGATAGGGGGCACCTCACCCCCATTTCTTGCTGTTGAATACCCCCTCCCCCACCCCTTCCTTTCAGGCCAGACTCTGACACCAGCTCTTTCCAAATACATTTCCTGACTTATCCCCCCTCCCCCCATTAGACTGTAAGGAATTTGAGGACAGGGCCCGAGTAATGTCTACCTGTGCATACCTTAATACTAAACACTAGAGCTTGCTAACTTAGGGAATAGCACTGAAATGGGCACAAAGCGCCCAGGAAAGGCCAGCAGGTGCCTGGCAGTGGATGGTGGGTGTACCTGTCTAGTGAGGCTGCCTCCGAGGTTCATGGTGCCGGAGCCCGATTTATTGGTCTGCAGCCACAGCATCACCGTGGAGGTCAGCTTGTAATGGGCAGTGCGGCCACTGGATTTTTCCTGGGGGGGAGGAGATGAAGAAGTGAGAAAGAGCATGCTTGGAGTGTCAGGTGGTGCATGCATGGGGACCCCAGCTAGGAAACGAACACATGCTATGCGTTCTAATCAAGTCAACCCAATGGCAAGCATCACCGAGGTTTGCTTTGTGCCAGGCACTGAGGACACAGATAAATGCAAGAAACCATCTCAGCTTGTAAGGCCTTACATTCTGGTCAGGGAGGCAATATGTACACACGTGAGTATATACAGAATATATACAAGAGTGGCTCCTCCTCAAAGAAGTAGCCTTTAGGGCGAGCTCTGAAAGAAAGGAGGAGGCGAGGGGGAGGAAGGAATGCATTCTAGAAATGAAAACTAACAAGTATGAAGGCAAAGAGGCAGGAGGTGGGGTGTGGTGGGTAAGGAGCAGTGTGAAGGGCAGTTTGGCCAGACTGCAGGGGGCACAAAGGGAATAATGTTGGGGCAAAGTCAGGGAGGGCTTTAAACGCCAAAAGAAAGGAGTCTGTACGTGGTTCTGGAGGTAACCGGGAGACACTGGAGAGGGAGAGAAAGAGAGAAAGAGAGAGAGAGAGAAAGAGTGTGTGTGTGTGTGTGTGTGTGTGTGTGTGTGTGTGTGTGTGAGAGAAAGAGAGACATTATCACTCTGCCCCCCCATTAGGAATATCTCCCTGGCAGCTGTGAGGCTGGAGGGTGGGTGGGTGGGGGCAGAAGATGTGAGGAGGGAGACCGAGACTAAGGCTATTCTGAGGTAAGAGGCCCCATGATTTGACATGGAGAAAGTTGTTGCACTCTTCCTCTCTTCTCACTCTCTTTTTAAGATTTTGCTAACTGGTTTCTGACCTCATCATTCAAATGAAAATGCTCTCTCCAAAGTTACCAGTGATGTCTAAATTGCTAAACCTGCTGGCTTTTTTCTCAACCTATTCTTTTTGATGCTGCATCATGACACCATTAACCACCTTCTCCCTCTTCTCAAGTTCCTGCTTTCTGGTTCCCTTCTGGTATGACCCCCTCCTTTTCATTTTCCTTTCCTGACCAATCATCCATATCATGTCCCCTAACTGTAGGCATAGCCTGAAGCACTGTCCTGGGGCCTTCTCTTTCTCGCTATACTTTTTTCTTGGTTATCACCTCATCAGCACATTTGGATTTAATTACCAACTCTATGCAAATGACTTTAGAATGGATATACCCATCCCTCGTCTCTCTCCTCAGTGACAGCCTCCACCTGCCCCCCCAAGAACCCCAACAACTGCTTATTGGACATCTCTAACTGACTGTACCAAGGTGTCACTCGCACTCAGTTCTCAACTCAGATTCTGTCCAACAGATTTTGTTATCCTTCCCTCAAACATAGCCCTGTTCCAAACTTTGTTACTTCTGTCAAGGCCACCACTGTCCATCCAGTTGCAACCTCACTGTCATTACTGCCTCCTCACATCCAATCCAGTGCCAAATTCTGTCGTTTCTATGCCTACAACATCACTCACACAGATCCCCTTTTCTCTACTCACTCGGTCATTTTCCTTGTCTAGGCCCTCATCACCTACCTGTTACGATAGGTTCCTAATTGGTTTCCCTGGCTCAGGTCTCCCCTCACTCCAATCCATGCACCAGAAAGCTTCTAACACAAAGCACAGATATAACCACATCATTCCCTTACTGAAGAAATTCCAGTGTCTCCTTACTACCTCTCGATCAAATACAGATTTCTCCATTTGACATTTTGAGCCCTACACACCCTGGCACCAGCCTATCTTCCCAGCTTTCTTCTGTATCACGGACTGGCCGGACTGCCCATCCTGCGGTTCCTCACACACGCAGGCCCTAGCTCCCATCTCTGTGCCTCTACTGGCTCTTTTCCATTCCTGGAATGCACTCTGGCCTCCCCCAAGGCTTGGATCAAACAGCGCTTCTGGAGGAAGCCTTTCCTGAGCCTGCCATATTTCTCAGATACCTCTAGATGTACCTGGAAGCTCCTTAAAGAGAGGAAACATTTCCCTTTCGTCTCTATGTCCACTGCATGAAGTACCAAGCAGGCACTGAAATGTTTCATTGGAAGTTACGTGTTTTCTTTAAAGCCCCAAATGATTTTAAATCTAGCATGCCCTCAACCTCCTGGGATACAAAGTATTATGGGCTTGCCTTCGTTTTGTATCTGGTCATGTGTGTACATACTGTCTCCTCTGAGAGAATGGAAGCTACCTCGGGTCAGGGACACTTTCCAATGTGTCTTCATCTCTCCGGCATCTGGCAGAGGACCTAGCACATAGCCAGCAACTGAGAGACGCTTGGTCACTTAGATACAGAGACACGATGCTGACCCTACCACCCAACTACTTGGTTTTCTTTACTGAGGCACGGGGTTAAGTATCTGCGGAGGCTTACATTTTCCAAGTATGCATCTGCATCCAGGGAAAAGGCCTATTTTCAATCCCTCTGGTTTCTTTATCGTTGTTATTACCATTGTATAATTCTGACTGATCTTTGTCCAAATGGCTTCAGGGTATTTTCCAGCATTAACAGGGGTTTAAACTCTACCCTATCCACCCCTTGCTTTTAAAACAAGAAACGTCAGCTGCCATGCATAGCTGTCCTGAATCAGATGCCGCCTCCCTTCCTGTGGTGCTTGCTTTCAGCTGTGTCCATGTCTGTACCTGAACTTCCACCACATGGATGGAATCCCAACAGCCTTTGATCTTCTTTGATCCATCGCCAGCCTTCTTAATGAGGATCACTCCTGCAAAACCGTGATCCAGATCCCAGAGGTAGACAGAGGAGACACCACCTTCAAAATATCTGTAGGAAGGAGGCCCAGGTATCAATTAGATGGGAAACTTCCATGCCTAGCTTCACCAACCCAAGTCCCAGGAGAAAAACACGCCACCTCTTCCTCTTTCATTTGGCCAAGAGACACTAAATGGGTGCTCAGGACTCCAGGGTGTCCCTGCTTGATAATGGGGCCAGGATGTCCATTTATCTTTTATAATAAAGATACTTTATGGAAGTGGAAGAGGAAACAAAAGTTAGAGTAACCTCAACAGTTGTAGATTCCTTAAGGATCTGAACAAATGGGGCCTCCGGTTCCAATTAAGCAGAGCAGCCTTTTCAAGAATAGCTAGCTACAAAGGCTGGCCAGAAGTTCAGGGCTGTGCTGAACAACATCACTCCCATTTCTGTCTGAGCCAGTCTGGAAAATCTTTAGATTGAGCCTCCTAATTAAGACAAAATGTATAGAGAGAAAGAAAAAGGAATGGAAAGTGTGGCAGGGTGTGCCAGAGATGGAGATCCAAGAGAGGTAGATGTCAATTTCTTTTCATCTTCCATGGGATGAAGACAACACTGTAGACACTCAGGAGCTAAGATGGGTGTAGGAGGTAGGGGGACACAAGGGAAGGCAGTGCTCAATCACAGCAACTACTATTTCAGGTTGGTATAATTATCCAAGGGTACTACTACTACTACTAATAATAATTTACACAGTGCCAGAAAGTTTAAAAGTACTTTATACAGCTTATCTCCCTTAATCTCACAACATAGGTGTTATTATTAGCTCCATTTTGTAGATGAGCAAACCCATCCCCAAGAGAAGTTAAATGACTTGTCTAGGGGCAGCTACGTGGCGCAGTGGATAAAGCTCCGGCTTTGGAAGACCTGAGGTCAAATTTGGCCTCAGAAACTTGACATTTACTAGCTGTGTGACCTTGGGGAAGTCACTGAAACCCAACTGCCTCACCCCCCCCCCCAAAGACTTGTCCAGGGTCCTATGGTTGGCAACCACAATCGAAGCACTAATCTCATGTAATTAAGAGCACACTTCTCTGCCTGAACAGAAAAGTTGAACACTCCAATCTGTACCAAGCCCAGCATCAACTCTATTGTGAACTTAAAACCACTGATACTCAAGAAAGGTTATTGTATCAGGACTGACAGAGCCATTAAGTAGAAAGGCTGACCTTAAATTTCAATCCTTCATGGAAAGGGTAGGATAATGTATTCTAATTACAGTTTGGGCACAAGAAAATCCAGTAGAATCATAGAAAGTCAAGAGCTGGAAGGGATGTTAAGAGACCATCTCATCCAACCCTCTTATCCTCTGACCTCTACACGGCATTCAAAGTAACCAGTATCCCAACCATAAAGAACCTGTTCAACTAGCACTCGAAGGAAATGTGTCCAACAGAGAGTTATTTTGCCTTTGGGGACAGATGTACCATCCCATTCTGTAAAACTTGGAGGCCATTTTGGGGGAAATGGAAGACTCTACAATGCATTCGTTTTTCCCAGGGATTTCACACCAATTGGGGAAACACTAGATCTGGGGCTCCTCTCCCTGGAATGGAAGGCCCTCCGCAGTCTGGCTCTATCACCCTTCCCAGCCTCAACCCTTCATATTCACCCTCTTCACATATGATGGAGACTCCAGCCAAAATGTGCCTCTGAACCTCTGCCCTGTGCCTTTGTATATGCTGTCCCTGCTATGGGGAACATATTCTCTGTTCCTTTTTATTGGTGGTCCATCTACTCAGGCTTGAAAGCTCAACTCTAGAAGCCTTGTATGATCACCCTTCCCCCCCACTGGTATTCCTCTGGAATGCCCTCACCCCATAGACCTCACATTGTACCTTAGATGTATTAATCACAACTAAGTTTTTAGTAGAGTTATCTATGCCTGCATCTTGCCAGCCCCACCACCAATAACAGCTCTTCATAAAGAGTAGGTGCTTAATGCTGACGTAATCAGATCTTCAGGTACAGCCTGCTATACTACTGCGTCCCACTTCTAGACTCTTTGGGGTTATCTCCTGGAAATCCAATGTGATCCTAGTGTTTTCGGAGTAACTTGACTCAGGGAGGTAACCTGGACCCAAAAAGAAGGCCATCTTAATCAGAATGCAGCCCTCCTGAAAACCGCTGTATGGGTCATTTTGGTGAGTCCACAGGGGCATCACCATGACATGTTACCTGTATTCTTGGAGTACATTCAAGAGAGATTTTAACAAGGATTCAAAGCTGAAGCCATTATAGGACTTGGAATTTTACAGTGCCCCAGAGAATCCAGCGCCATAAGCCCTGCAAGTGTTCCTGCCTGTTCTGTCAGATTTTAATGACTCCCTGAGCCAGTTAGCTAGATTATTAGTCAAGCCTACAATAATGACCAAATTAGCTTGAATCAGCCCACAACAAGCTCGTTAACACTGTTTCTTTAGGCAGCTGATCACTGGATTCTAAAACCTGGTGAGTTTTCCATCCAGTCTGCCTGTCGGGAGGGCAGCCCAAGTCAAAAGGGAGGAAAAACAACTTTATGACTGTGGCATCCCTTATGTGCCGGGGGAAGTGCAAGAGCCAGTAACTCCCTCTTACTTTTGGCCTGGCGGCCACAAGGCCACACTGGAAAGATGGCTTGGAACCTGACTGGCGTTTTCATAAGCCGGCTCCCTAAACAGTTTTGCAGCTGAAAAGTTTTGGGTCTTTGAGGCCCACCAATCACTCAACTTCCCAAACCCATGATACCATGTTGTTCTTGGGTGGATGCTAACCCCATGTGCACCGGAACACTGGAGGAAATATAGGGAGGGTGAAACTAGTCTGGAAGGAAACCATGAGAAATCCTGGGGGCCTGACAGCTCTCCAAAGCCCCAGGTAGCTTCCACTTTCTCCCTTAACCCCATCCCAGTTTTCTGTTTATGTCCAGAAAGAAAAACAGGAGTGCGTCGACATTTTCTAAGGTGGAACTGGTCATTTCCCATCCAATGCCCCACCTTGTGGCCTGGCAAAGGGAAAAATTCTCCAGTTCTCCCTTGTCTTTTATGCGAAGCTTCTCTCTAGAGCTCCTCCTCATTTCTTATGTCTCCTGCTACTCCCCCCCTCCCTCCATTCGGCACCTCTCACCAGGTCAAAAGGACCAAAAGACCTGAGGCAGAAGCGGTATGTTATTTAGATACAAAGTGACTTCTTTTTAGTTTTCAATGATAAATCACTGACACAGAACTAGAGAGTAAGAATTCTATAGTGATTAAAATCCACAAAGCACTTTTTATTTCTGGTGCCTCCTCAAAGCTCTCCCCTTGAAACCAGCTCATATCCCTCTTTGGAAACAAGGTAGCCCCTGGCTGAGCCAACCCATGCAACAAATAGCCCTGACTTTTTGAGAACAGTCTTGCATTTCCAGCACCTAAAGAGATGGCTGCAGCCCAGAGCAATCAAAAGTTCCAACCTGCCTGACATGTGGAGGTGAAGAGAGCAAAGGGACTGAGGGAGATCTGAAGAGGCTACTTCGGAGTCACCCAGAAACGTCAACCCCACAAGTGCTGTTAAGAGAGCTCCCCAGGCACACTCGAGCAGGACGATCATCACAGAGTCTACAGACAGATTCCCTGTTACCCAGCGTGTGGGCTTGTTCTGCGCGTGAAACATTAATTAAAGAGGGGCCTCAACAGGCGTTTGGAAATTTATTCTTACCTACTGTACTTTGATCATAATGACATGGAACAGGGGAAAAAATAATTTGTATGTGGTTCACATTTATGAGTTTTTACATAAAGGCTTTTGTGGGTATTTTAAGAATGCACTAAAATGTTGTCTGAAGCCATCTGACGAGGCTCCCGCGAGAGCTAACAGCACACACATGGAAGCACTTATACTGGCCTTTGTATATTTAATGAGTCAAATAGTATTAATATTGTTTAAATGCTAACATGCCATTTCAATCAGGCAGCTCGGCCATCGCCGATGACTCCCTCCTGGGCCTTGCACGTCAATGGGAACAATCCAACTCGGCCGTGTGTCGAGGGCATGCTGGGATGGAAGCCTGCTGGGTGTTCTGCCAATGCCCAAGAGTGTCAGAATTTCACTGGCTTTCAAGGAGGAGAGAAAGAGGGGAGCAGGCCTATTACTGATCACAGCTGGGGGGCAACATGGGCAAAGAGGCCCTTCCCCTTCAGAATGGTCTGTTTTCCCTTGTAATGGCCTTGGAATGACCAAACCAGATCAGAAAGCTCATGGGAAGGGGTGGAAGAAACATACCAAATACAGATGGATTGTAAAGAATGGAGAACTTATTTTAAGTGGAGGTTTCCCAAAGAGAAATGTATATCTTTTAAAGAACTGTTCCATGAGTTAGAACACTAGAATTATTACTTTTTTTTTTTTAAAAGAATGAAGTGACTCACAATAGGTCACTGAAACCCAGGTTTTCTGACTCTAAATCCAGAGAGGAATTTTTCCATGGCACCACTGCTGCCTCTCATAGAACAAAAGACAAGGAACCAAACTGGAAATCAGTTGCATCCTGGGTAGACAGGCAAATGAAATCTACTTTATAACTGAGATCCAGGACTAGACTTGGGAACAGGAGGATTGGGTTTGAATTCTAATCCAGATGTTTCCCAGCTGTGTGACCATGGCCAGGGCAGGTCACTCCTTGGAGCCCTTGTTTCCTCATCTGTAAAATGGACACTAACATTTCCACCCTCCCTAGTTTATAAGGCTGCCTGGCTGTGGGGAAGGTACTTTGTGAATTTATAATTCACACTCCACAAATGTGAGTCATTATCCTTATCATCCACAAAACAATTAAAATTAAACCTTCATAGGGGTTTAGTCTAAAAAGCAAAGACAGATTCCTGAAGTGGAAGACCAAATGCCTCATTCATCAGTAAGGCTCTCCTCTACCACAAGCCCATGGAAATCACTTTTCCAGTCTGAATAATGTAGTAGCCTCATACACAGTCTTTATGTCCATTAATCCTTAACCACATAACTTCAGGGGTAGGGGGTGGGCTGAGAGCAAAGCCCTC